TATATGAATCTAATAAGTTATAACATTAAAGTAAAAAGAAAATTGCGTTCTTATCTCTTTCAGTAATTGTTCTCTTCCTTACATCATTTGGAAAATCTCGTATAAATTCATTGTTAGAAACGTGATCTTTCTTCTAGATAAGAAATCTAAGCTTAAACCTGAACTATTCATATGCTCCATTCTTTCCAAATTACTTGCAAAGACTCTGGACATTAAGAAACACTTGGAATCTTATGAACAACGAATATAAACACATAAAAGACTCTAAAATAGGTGCAAAAGCGTTTAACAAAATCCAACGAACGAACCTTTTTTTTTTAAATCTCACTAATAACGATAAGAGACGAATCAATGAACAAAACATCAAACCTAATCGATGGATCAAAGCCCTTGATGACAATCTCTGACAAAAACAAAACAAATGAGATAAATTTTTCGAGAAAATCAATTTATAAGAGAGAAGAGATCACCTAGTCCATGCATCACGATGAACATGTTACAAGAAGACGAAGGAAGAAATCATCAACACCAACATGCTGCAAAAGGATGATGGAAGAAATATATTAGCATTGATGAAAAAATTAATAAGCTAAAGAAAAAAGGGAGAACATATGAAGAACATTCGGTGACCAAACCTTAAAAATATATACATATCTTATATAATATTTTAAGGTTTTTCTAAACTCAAATCATGAGAGGATGTTATGTGTCACCTATTATTTTGACATTTCTCTTTTTGATTTATTTATTGAAAAGAAAAAAAAATAATGTTTTAATAACTTTAACAATTAATTCCTACAATTTAATAGTTAAGTTTAATGTAAGTTAACATTATCATAACAAAATTCAAAAGATAAATACTTTATTCAATACCTTATATATATATATATTTTTTTTTTTTAAGGTTGACGAATTTCATTTTTTTTTCTTTGATATCCACAAAAAATTATAATTCCAAATTAAATGTATTATTGTAAACTTTTAACGGTTTGAAACATATATATTTTATTTATTAAACCCATCAATATACTATACAAAAATATTTAAAATTTTAGATAGGTAACTACCATTTTAAAACAAAAAATCACAAAAATCTTTAATAAAAAGAATCATAACATTAACTAAAAAATGGTGTGAGAATATTAATTAAAGATTTGAGGAATTTTAAGGCTGTTAGAATGCTAAAGTTGTCAACCATCACTTAACCAATATTCTCGAAAAGAAACCTTACTCCTCCACAAATTTTTAATAAAAAAAACATAATAATTCACAAATGAATCGATGTGAAAGATAAAAATCGTAGAATATATGCATTCCAACATCTCTGTTGAGATAATGCAAATGTCTCGATAGAAACAAAATAATATTACAATTTGTCTGATCAATATATTTGTTTTACCAACGTATTTGATGCAAGAAAAAAGACGACCATTCATTTTCTTAGAGAACCGTAGTGAATATTGATAAATTAAACATACAAAGTTGTAGATTTGTGCAAAAGAAGATATCTTCCATATGCATACGCTGTAATTTTTATTAATAAACTGTCTATTCCTTTTCACATATAACATTGTATATGTCCAACAATTTACTCTAAATGCTTAATCTTCTAATCTAGATAATTATTTAGTACAACAACAATTTTTTGTAATATTAAATACACAAATAATTAATAAACTAGAATTGTTGCATATTTTACCATGTTAATTTTTAAATCCACGCAACGCGTGGACAATCTCTAGTATATAATAAAGCATAAGAGGGGATACCTAGGGTTTACATAAAATATGGGCATGATAGAAGAAAAGCCCAAAACCCAATAATTTTTTTTATCAAACGAATGAGGAAAATTTTTGTTTGAAAATTTTGATGGCATGACACGTAAATAATTCGATGGTATTTTAAACCCACTCTAGAGATGACACGTAGGATTTTTGACCTCACAATTATAAGTATAGATAAAATAGATTGAAATTAGGTAAGTATATAATATTCACAATGTTCTCGGAATATTTAAGATAAAATATA